TTATGATTTCTGTTTCTCTGTTGATATTCTGTATTTGGCACATTGTCCCTGTGCTTTCCTTTATTTCTTGGCACATGTTTCATTTGGCTTTTCAAAAATGTTTAAGATAGAAGATTTGAAGTCTTTTAGGGCTTGAGAGGTGGGTCAGCAGTTAAGAGTACTGACTGCTCTTGCAGAGGACCTGGATTTGGTTTCCAGCACCTACATGGCAGCTAATAATCATCCATAACTCTAATTCCAGGGAATCTGATACCCTCTTCTGGCCTCTTTGGTCATTGCATGACATGGTGTGCTTACATATGTAAGGGCATAACAATCATACCCATAAATTAAATAAATGAAAAAAAGAATAAAAAAAGTCTTTGCCAAATGAGTTAATGTCCAGGCATCCTGGGAAAATGATCTTAATTTATTTTTCTATCTACAACAACCATAGTTATAATTTATCTCTAGTTTTATGATTTTATTTTTTCATATCTGGACATTTTAAAAGCAGGAGATGACAGGTACAGAAATCAGATTATTACATTTCTCAGGTTTGCTGACTCCACTGCGTGCTGTAGTTGTATTTTCTGTTTTCTAAAGTAATACTGTGCTTTACTCTCCCATGTTTGACTGTTGAAGCATCACTAGTTTGTAAAATAACTGGAGTTTTGCTTTGCTTTGGTATACTTCTCAGCTCCTCTGGAGGAGCTGCCTGTGCCTGGTGTCACACCCTTAGTCCTCAGCCATGCTTTCGGAAGCTCCCTCTTGATTCCTCAGTCTACAGGTCAGAGACGGATGAGAGTGTTTCTGGCCTTTCCAGATATGTATGTGCACAGCTTGAGTCTTGTATTATTCAAGAGTCCCTGAAACATGATGAAGGTTTTACAAGCCTATGGATTTTATACTCTAGATTTTATGCTTTTTTTTTTAGAACTCATTTGTAACTTGCGTTAACCATTTCCATCACCTCAGTACCGAAAATGCAAAACTAGCATAATTGTTTTGGAGAAATGCCCATGGGGAGAAGCCATTTTGTGATAGAGACCACCTTTCACGGTGCTTCTTCTGAGTAAGCAACAGAAAGAACAGAAAGTGATTCTTTTTTTTTTTTTGCAAATGAGGCTTACAGGACTCCAGCTTTAGTCTATCCATTGCAATGTCTGACAAGCTCTCTTGAGAATTCAGGCTGTCCTTCTGCAGTGTGACCAACAAACCACGGTGGGGAGGGGGTTTAAATAGTGAAAATACCAAAAAGCTTTTGCTATTATCAAGGGTTAACTGAGCTTCGTAAGTACTTAATGGGGAATAGTGACCCTTCGCTAATTTTCAGAATTCTACTGAAGTTGATTTTTACTTTTCTTTCCTTCTTTCCTTCTTTTTTCATTTCTTTTTTATTGGGGGTGTGTGTATTAGTCAACTGTATGTTACTATAATGAAATACCTAAGACAGATGACTTAGGAAGAAAATGAGGTTAATTTTCATAACAGTTACAGTGGTTTACATCAAAGAGTGTGTAGTCCATTCCCTTCGGGACTACTATGAGTGGCAGATGGTGATGGTAGGAAAGCAAGTCAGTGAGTGACAGAGGGGAGGGAACCCGGGTCACTCAGTGTCTCTGGTGACTTCATCAGGGCCCACTTCTCAAAGGCGTACAGCACCTACAGTGTCAACATGCTGGGCACTAGGTCTTTGCATTTGGCCCTGAGAGAGTCATTCAACTCACAGTGAATGAAAACTCTTCAATGGTCTCTGCTTGACTGCTTTTCCTAATTTCATCTGTAAGCAATTGAACTTTGCCTCTAACCCTCAACTCAGAGATTTTACTAGATTAACATAGAGTTTAACTGGAGGCTTTCTTCAAAACTTCATATTACCGAAATTGTAAGTGTACAAAGAAAGCCAAATCAATACATTAAATTGCTCTCTTATTTTGTGGAAAATGTCAGTTCTCCAGAAAATATTTCTTACTTACTACTGAAGTCGAATTTTCAACATTTTTTCTGTAGCTTCTGCCCCAATTTTAAACTAAAAATAATCTTCCTATTGTTACACACTGGAAAGCCTTTGGTTTTGGACAGTCTATTAAGATTTGGAATCTACAGGGGCTGGAGAGATAGCTCAGTGGTTAAGAGCACTGGCTGCTCTTGCAGAGGAACTGGATTCAATTCTAAGCACCCACACGGCAGCCAACAACTGTCTGTATCTCCAGTTCCAAGGGATCTAACGCCCTCTTCTGACCTCCCGGGTGCACTTACACACATGCAGACAATACACTCATACACATAAGATAAAAATAATAAATAAAATTTGGGGGCTAGAGAGATGACTCAGTGGTTAAGAGCACTGGCTGCTCTTGCAGAGGTGCTGAGCTCATGTCCCAGCACCCACATGGTGCCTTACAACTGTTCATAACTCCAGTTGCAGGGGATCAGACACCCTCTTCTGACTTCTGTGGGCATTGCAAGACATGAGTACACCTACCTACATGCACTCATGCACATAAAATAAAATACTATTTAAAAAGAGTTGGAGCTGGAACTGGCCTGGAAACCACTTCCCTGGAGGCTAGTTCTTGTTGTGGAGAACAGTATGCAAGCTGCTAAGGAAGAACATCAATTGGTGGTCCAATAACAGCTTTAAGGTCTAATAACCACAGCAATGACCAGCAGAGCAAACTATATTGGGGCACTAGTGGCATTTTTATTTTGGGGGTAATCAAAAGCTACCTATTTGGATTTAAAGCCCACCCAATGGGAGGAAAATCGTGTGGTATTGTAAACATAGCTAAATACACATAGCTGGAGAGGTCATAGATCATACAGAAAATCCCAAGACTGTCCCATCCCTAGATAAATATAATTTCTCACTATGTGTTAAATATGTATCCTTATATTTTCAGATAAGTATGCCAGTCACCACTCATCAAAGAACACCACTCATCTTTTGCAACAGATGGAGTCTATTAAAGAGTTCCATAACTGGACACACACAGAGACTGTCTGTGAATTGCCCAAGCCAAAGGGACACATTTATAAAGAAACTCTACACCTAAAACTCAGGGAACATAGTAAACAAGGGGTAGAGGGAACACTAATGAATCTCTCAACTCTCATCTATGAAGCTCCCTCATGCCTCAGAGGGCCATGAACAAAAGGGTACAAATAGCTACAGTGTGGAGGATAAGAGGCCGAGGAATGTGGGTCCTCAGACAGAACTCCCATATTAAAGTCCACCCACCCAGGACTCAGGGACCATTGTGGAAGAGGGGGCAGAAAGATTTTAAGAGCCAGGGGAGGAGGTGCAAGACCATATAGAAATAAAGTTGTACAGACTCTGGAGACCTTGCTCATAGGAACCTATAGCAATGTTGTCAGCATGCACAAGACCCATACAAACTCAGACAATCAAAAACCCAGCACAGAACTGTGGGAATTGACAGCAGGCCTCAATTTTAAGCAAAGAACTATTGGTAGCTGATTACTGCTGGGTGAGGAAGAACTGATTTTCTTAAAGGAAAGGACTCTAGATGGGCTGATTAGACCTCAGTGGATGAACTGACTTGACTCCATAGGCCTTCATAAAAATGACAGAACGCATGAAATCCAGTTGGGGGAGACTATGGGTGGGTATCAATGGGGAAGGGTGTATAAAGATGATTAAGGTATTCTGTATGAAATACACAAAAATTCAATAAAAATTATAATAAATAAAAGTTTCACATTCGCAAAATCATCTCCCTACATAAGGATAAATTAAACTCCAATTTCTAAAACTAGACTTGTTTTGAATTATTGATTCTTCAGACATCTTAATGATCTTTCTCTGGGTTTGTTTTTGTTTGTGTCAATTCCAGCAACATTTTTTATTTTTCAGAAAATGTTGGTGAGGACACCATGTGAAATAATGGATCAGTGTCAAGGTTGACTTCTGTTGTAGAAAGAGGTCCATTTTAGTGGGAATAGTTTACTGATTCATTCTTGAAAACCTCAGTTTTCCTGCTAAAATAGTTGCATCTGAGAACTCTTTCAGAAATGTTTACTTCTTCTTTATCAATGTATTTTTAGCTTTTCTTTGATATGTTTCTCTTCACAGATGTCCCTCTTTAACCCAGAGCACTGACATCTAATCTCTGTATTTACTGCATACAGTACAGGTTGGCCTCTTTATGTTCAGTCTTCAATTAATGAAGTATACAATGCCTATTTTCCAGATACCAAAACATCTATAGACTTTTACAAAAGACTTACCGTCATAAGAATTTTTGAAACACAATTTAATGATCTGATATCTGCAGTTGACCTCTGGTATGTGCAGTGCTCCAAGACCAAAGTCTTCAAACAATGCTCTGTGACCTTTTCTTATAGGTTGCATTTCTAAATATGACCAGATAAAATCACTTAGAGTCTGTCTAAGGTCTACTGATTGCTGTGTGCATACATGCACACAGGCTGGAGACAGAAGGAGAGGCTGGGACTTAAAGACAATGTCCAACTCTACTGAGGTTAATCGCCAAGCTCACTTCAAAACCAGGACTCTGTCAAGAGATGCTGATGTCGTTCCAGGCATTTGCCCCTCCAGAGCTCAGCACTCAGACAGAGAAGAAGCACTCATGTTTTAGCAAAAGTAATTTGAGAACAGTGTTGTCAAGCCTCTGTATTTCTGAATTTTGTATAGTTGGTGGTGTATGTGTAGAGATGGACTAGCACAGATTCTGTGGAATTTTCTGAGGAGAAATTAGCCATGATAACTATTTCATGTGTCTAGGCTAATCATGGTTTTTCCCTTCTTCCATGTGGCTCTAATGAAGCACTCATTTAATTTAGTCATATATTATCAAAATAACATACAGGATCCTAGCCAATGATCGAATATTACATATGTGTATGTTATATCTAGTTTTACATTTATAAATTATTTCCAATACAAAAAAAATCTTGTTATTAAGAGGGTTTCATTTGACTTGAGATAATTTTTTGCAGGTTTCTAGCAGTATACAATTTTGTCAGATACAAACCGACAAGGATGGAGTAGAGGATGCCAGGTCGATCTGATGGCGGTTGGATGTTCCGGTCCTGATCAATGGCTTGGATAGCTGGGGTCACCACAATGGGGTTCAGCTCTTCCTGGAAGAAAATTCAGAGTATTTATTTGAGCTCTATCACTGATACTTCAGGGAGAGCTGACACCAGGATGCTTTAGTTAGGACAGCTAGATATCAGCTGAGCAGGCAGAGAAACTCAAATACCAACATCTATAATTTGACACCTTCACTAGCTAATCCTAAATTTGAAGAGAAAGTGAGAGTCTCTCAAATTCAAAAGGAAAAGACACAGTAACTATGTGCACAGAACTCTCTTTCAGAGATTTCTCCCAAAAACAAATGAGAGAAAAAAGATTACAATACAGTTTTAACCTTCCTAGATGACTTAAACACAATTTAAAGCCATCACACAGTTCAGGATGTGAAGTTTTTCTCTCTGTTTCAGAAATGATGTCCTGTGACTATATTCTTTCTTTGTCAAATCATTTAAAGTCTATTTTTCATATAATTATACTGAAAATAAAAAATATTCAAAACAGATACTTTAATTCAATAGAAACCAAAACCACATCATTCAAGTGTCATGTAATTAAAACAAATTACATGGCTCAGTTATGTTTATTTAATTTATGATGTTCTGTGAAAAGATTCTGTTTAGGATTATAATGAATTTCTTTAAGTTTCTGTTTCCCTGTTTGATGTTCAGTAGAGTTCTATTGTATATTATGACTGACACTCTTTTTGAAAGACCAAATAATAACTTTAAGCTCTGGCAATCAGAGATCTCTATGGTGGCCTCTTTCCCATTATAGCGGAATATCCCCAAGTGGACATGGATCAGGGAAAATGAGAAAAGCAATGACTTGTGTGCTGAGAAAAACAACAAAAATCTTGTTATACAGACAAGACCAAAAAACCACTAAAAACCTAAATTAAGGTTTGCTAAGATGATATTGTCTTCAGCTCTTTTCAAGGTCTTAATTGTGCTACTTCATACAGCGACTCTAAGAAAATGATATTTTTCCAGATATTCTAGAAACATCCATTAACATTTCCTTGAAATGATGCCCTTAGAACAGAGTCTTGGAAACATTAAGGTTTTTAAACTTTCAGACAACATATATAAATAGTAAAGTCTAAAAGAAAATAACATCCACCTCAGTATTGCCAACTTCACATTCTGAGTAACTACCACAGGATTCTTCACACCATTATGAAATGACAGAACATTGAATTCTGTCACATGTTCTTAGGCAAAACCAGTAGTTTAGATTCTAAGGAGCAGCATGGTGATAGAATATATTTAAAATGAGCAGTCATATTAAAGTATCACATGAGATACTTACTTTTTGTCAAAATAATAATGATCAAAGATAATATAGCCCCTGATTCATATGTGAGGTCTGAAGCATTGGTCAGTAATTATCATTTTCATGCTTTCTAAATGGTGACACAATATTTTCCTATAAATAATGAGATACTAGTAGCAACAGCTCACTGATACTTTTTATCTCTTCTTTAAATGTGAATTCAGACCCATAGAAATATCAAACCAAGAAAAATATCTCTAGATGAGGTTTATTTGAGACCAACTGGTCATTACCCAAGACTTATCTGCATGACACACAGTAATTAAAAATGCCAGAATGGTGGAACTAACCTTCCTGGATGTTTAACAGACATACCCTGAGATCTATACTAATTGGGTCAGAGGGACACAAAGGACACTTTTTGCTCCTTGCCCTCCTAGGTCGATTAGTTCCCA